CGAAAGCTGCTTAGCTCCAAAGAAAAAAAAAAAAAACCCTTCTAAAAATCCTTCCTAAAATCCCAAGGGAAGGAAAGGGATAAGCAAAGACTATTTTTTGAAGGTGATAACTCAATACCCAGCTCACCTTCGTACCAGCTGCGCTTCTCCCGACCGCTCCTCACCCGCCAAGTCAGAGTTTCAAAGTTCTTTGCTCTCACAGCAGGGGGAAGAAAGAGGAATTTTCAGCCAACCTGTGCTGGAGGACGCTCTGTGCCTCCAGCGAGCACGGAAGACGGGCCGATCGCCCGCCCGCTTCGCGAAACACCCCGGAGTTCGGCCACCTCTTTGTATTTTAAAAGGAAACAGAAGGGGGAAAAAAAAAAACCAGCCTCAAAACTCCAAAAGATCCAACCTACCAAATCCCATCCATCTACACAACAAGATTCGGGCAACCTGAGCCTCCACGTCAGAAAAATCCCGGATTATTTTCTACGCAACTCCCTAAAGCGCGCCCCGGGAGGTGAAACCCTCCCCGAACAGCCCTGAGAAACTGTTCAAAAAGGCAATAATAACATTTCTGCTGAAAAAAAGCTATTTTTCTCCAGTCATCCCCGAGGTGCTAAACCGAGTTTGCTCCACGTTAAGACCAAAGTCACCTTCGGGCACCGGGAAAACCCATCTGAAGCGAGGAGTTCGGCGAAGCTACGCCGTTACGATGGAAGCTTCTTTGTAAATTCTTTTTCTTTTTATTTTTCCTAGATTTCGGAGGATTTTTTCCCAGCCTGACGTCGGAGCCCCGCTCCGAGGAATTACAGCCCTGTTCCTTCATTCCTTCCGTTTTTCGCAACGCTCCGTGTTACGGTCGGCGAGGCAAGGGAGATTCGCACGCTCAAAGCATCGGAAGCGCTCCGGGATTGGTCAGATTAAACCGAAAAAAAAGGTCGTAAGTCAGCTCTGGGAAGTTATAAAAATAAAAGAAAATAAAATGACAAGTTTCGGCACGCCTTCCCACCACGGAGGGGAAAAAAGTGAGCTTCTCTCGCCGGCGTCGCTCACACCAAGCCAACGGCACGCACCGCTACCGCCGCGTCCCTCTTCTCACTCCTTCCTCCCTCCACTCCTCCTAGATTATTTTTTTGGGGCAAAATTCAGGCAAAAGGAGGGAAAAAACCCAAACCAAAACGCCCAAATACCAGATTACAAATAGCTCCAAGAGCTCGGCCTCGCGCCACGGCACCCGCAGCCTGCCCGCCCGCATCCCTAAGGAATCCGACGCGTCTTCTCCGCGGCGTAAGTCCGTAGTAAGTCTCGTTTCGCTCGCTGCAGGACGAAGCCGAGCAGAGGCAGAGCTGCGAAGCCTTTCAGCCGTCCTGAGGTAACCGGAATAGCGCGTAAAGCCGATTCTGCACGGTCCTGCACGGTGTATTTATAATTATCATCACAAGTCGCAGCTCTCCTCCCCTCCTGCACAACGTCCCCGGGGAAGCCACTCATAAATTACTTACTGCGTGTCTTCCGAAGACTCCTGTTTTATCTTCAGGGTCCTTTTCGTGGGAGGCATTTCATCTGAAAGGGAAAATTCCGACACGTCACTATATTTTCAATAGCGTTCCTGGGGCTTTTTTTTTTTCTTTTTCCCCTTCAGGTTGAAATTAAAAAAAAAAAAATAGAAATCCAAGTTGCTTCCTAAGCCAGGCAGCCCACCACGTTCCGCACGAGGGGGCTCCCCCTTCTAAACCCCCCGGAAACGCAT